TGGCCACTTTCAGCAGCGGCTGAATCGGGGACACCTGGGGTACAATGTGTACCAGTTCCGATTTACATACAAATTCAACTTAAGAACAAATCTACAGTCCCTATCTTGTACGTAACCCGGGGACTGCCTGTATCAAATCCATGGTTTAGTCAGCATCTCTCAAACTTCAGCAACTCAAGGACCCCCATTAACTTAAATTTTTGCCACTTTCAGCAGCGGCTGAATCGGGGACACCTGGGGTACAATGTGTACCAGTTCCGATTTACATACAAATTCAACTTAAGAACAAATCTACAGTCCCTATCTTGTACGTAACCCGGGGACTGCCTGTATCAAATCCATGGTTTAGTCAGCATCTCTCAAACTTCAGCAACTCAAGGACCCCCATTAACTTAAATTTTTGGGGATCTCAACCCCTCCATTCAGCCCTTGCCCTGTCTTCTTCTCTGAGGTCCTGTATATCCCACTCATGCTGGTTTAGTATATTTGCCCCATGTGGCTTATCTGCTTTAGAATGGCTCTGGGATTCTGATGCAGGGAACATGGGAATCTGCAGAAGCAATGTGCATGATGAATACCCATGCTGAGTAAATAACCTTTTACTTTCTGTAGGGACTATGTGGTTAAAGTCTGTAGTGCAAGAAGCAAAGATGCTAACCACCTGTCCTGCCTGCTAGAGATCTGCTTGGCTGCTCACAGCCTTCCCATCACTGCAGGAGTGGAGAGCAGAACAGCCCTGGAAGTCACTGTAGGCTCCACTGTTCAGTTCTTACCAAGCATTGAGCTAAAATGCTCTCAATATAGCACCTGGGTACAGTTGGGGAGGGGAACCCAGTATGTTTAAGGCTTCAGGTAGGAGGTAACATGATTTGGAAAAACTGCCCTCCCTCTAACAGAATTCTGATAGGTGCTAATGCCCCTCCTTGTGTGTTCTTTTTGCAGCTGGGAAGAGATGAAACATCCCAGGTGTTGGGCGTACAAGATGACTTGGCTGGACTGAGAAGCAGCAGAATCAGATGCACTTCTTTCCATTTGAACTGCTACACAGTTTATAATAAACCTTTGGTGATCCCGAAGAGCTGAATAACATGATTTATTTCTTAGAAAAATAAAACAGAATAACTGTTTCATGTTGCAAATTCAACCTTGTTGGGAGCAAAGCCCCCTTGGTTGTAAATGCCATCTGCCCAGCAATAGAAGTGAGGGCAGGAGGAGAAACGAATGGTATTCGGCATGCATGTAATCTGAAAGGAACAGGTAGAGAGAGTTCTTAGCTTTGACTGCTGACTTTGCTTTAATAGGTGTTTGACACTCAAGCCTTCTGATTTCTGTCTTCAGAGGTTACTTGAAACAGTGGCTGTTCTGCCTGGAACAGACCATGGTGCTGGAATCAGCTGCACAATTACAGACAGCTGGGCTGGTCCTTACTACATAGAGTAGCAGTGGCTACTGCTGCTGGCAATCCTGGAGGAGCTTTTTAGGTCATTCTCAATTTACTGAGTGGCTTTTGTTGGGAACTTCCTGGTTCATTCTAATTGTTTTCCATTGGTGGAGTTTTGTTCATGAAAAATGCAGGTATCTATTAATGGCATATGCCCTTGGACTATGCCTGTGGACTGAACTCTGCATTATGTTATGTTTCCAGTGATACATAATTAACAATTACTCCTTTAATGGGAACAAAATTCTAATGAAAGGTCACTCCATCTGCTGATTTCTTTAGCTTTGATGTTGCTTGCAGTGGAAGTGCTGTGTGTTTGCGGTCTGAAGACTGTAAGGAGGGGTTGCAGAGTTGGGATGTGAGTTAAGGTTTAGAAATGTGCCTACAATAGAGATGAGGTCTATAGTGCTACAATGTCCAGGCTACTGTAATTTTATTTGAAGATTTTTTCATATTCCAGTAATTCCAGTTGGTCAGTTACTGTGCCATGGTAATAATTCTCACCATTTGGTTTCTGCTTTTTCCTTGAACTGTGTGTGTGTCTGCACAATTTGTAGATGTAATAAAGCAGAGTGGCCATAGGAGGCCTTTTTGTCGGTCTCTTTGATAATGTGTTTTTCCCACTGTTCTGTTTCTTTATCAGTTTGCAGAAACCTGCTCCCTATTCATTGGGCCTGACAATTTCCCCCCCCCCCCTTTTTTCCTCAACAAAGCAAAATTGAGTTTTGTACCATCTGAATGAACTTCAAAGTGGCTGAAAGGGGCACCCAGAGTTCCTGGCACTTGTCATTGTCTCCCAGACTGGCCAACAGTTCCCTTCAGGTCTAATTACTTCCACATGCTCCCAAATGCTTTGAAGAACATCAGAGGGAGCAATGAAAGAAAGGCAGAAGAGGAAAAAGGAGACTCAAAGCTGAGGGAGCAGCAAACAGGCTTTAAGGAAGAGAAGACTGATTTCTTACCGAATATCCAAATGTGAACAGACAGGGGATATATATGCTGCAGTCCGAGGAACTGTTTTTCTGCTTTAAAAAAAGTAAATGTTCTCATAGAAAACCACCACTCAGCCAGGCATGCAAGGGGTTGCAAAAGGGAGAAACTGCAACAAGATTCCACAGAGATGAAAAGGATTCAACCAATCATCTTAATTCTAAAATTGGTACTTTGACTAACCCTGGGATGGAAGAGTTTAATAAGAATCTTTCTGTCCGGGTACTTGGTGAGTTTCCTTCCAATGGCGTCCTATCCTAAAGCTATTTCTGTTTTGCTGCTTAATCTGGGATTGTAATGAGGGCAAGGGGTTGCTCTTTCCCATCTCCCTTTTAAAGAGTCCATCTTAATCAATATACTGTGGGTTCTTAGAGGCTGATGGATAGAGCTTCACCTGTGGGACGGGAGGTAGCTGATGCTATTTCTGCATGGGTAGTATGTATGAGCTGATGCTGCTTGACCTGTCCACCAGTAGAGTGGATAATAAAAGCTCAGCTGATAGGAGTTTGTATCACCACTTGTACCTTTTGATTTCACTGATTGTCCTTTCAAATGTTTGGCTTACAAGCAACAGCAATTCCCTGAACTATGCCTTATAGGGCATTGGCTCTATATTAGTGTCCTGTATTTTGCTATTAAAATCTTAAGCATTTTCACCATTGTCCTTCTGCCAGCAATAATGAGCTGGTTGTGGGGCAGCGTCTGGGTTAGTAACTGACTGTGGTGGCAGTCTAGCTGTTAGCCTAATGTGGGGTGTGGTTCAGGTGCTTGAGAGAGGATATTTAACTGCTGCTTAACCAAGTTCATTGACACCAAAGTCTCGGCACTGTTTCTGTTAATTGCAAGTGAGCAACAGCCAAGACAGCACTGGTGGGTTTAACTGGATTCCCACAGTGAATTCTAATAATTTTAAAATCAAGATTGCTCTTGCTCCTCTAGTCACAGTTTAATGGGCTGTGCCACTGGGAAGCAAGTGGCATTCAGCCTCAGGGTCACAGGAACCAGCCTTCTTACTGCTAATTATGCACATTACCTCATTCAGCCAATTGTTCTCTGCCCAAGCTTGTCTGTCTAGACGATACATCCTGGGCAAACTGTGCTGAGTCTGTGGGATGGTGAAAGGCTTCAACAGTTGGTAAACAAACCAATCCTCAATCTATTAAAGATTGGCCCTACCAGTTACCTGCCCACCCACCAACCACTTCTGCCCTGCAGCTAGTTTTGCTTGTTTCACACAAGGAATCAAAAGGGTAGCCTGCTGGTCTGTAACTGAAAACATTTAAAAAACAATGAATAGTCCTATAGCACCTTAGAGACTGGCAAAAAAAAAACCTCTACTTTTTTTGTTAGTCTAAGGTACTGCAGGATTTTTTGGGTTTTTTAAAAATTATTCACACAAGGAAGTTGACTTATGGAAGCTAGCAGGCAACTTTGATGGATCTTTAACATGTTATTTCTATGGAAGGAGCAAGACCAGCACTCTTTGGAAAAGCACAACTAGGGCCTGACAAAGGCTCACATACTGACAACCATAAGCTTTCCAGCAGGGCAGTCACAATGCAGATACTTACGTATATGATTAGATAATGATCTGATATCTACTAGTAATCACCTCATAGTCTCAAAGGGCCTGGTACTTGTAGAACTGATCTGCAGACCCTGCTCAACATACAGACAAGGCAACTAAAGCTTCCTGCATCATATCACAACTGGTCATAGCTACTGGCCTATCCACTCCTTGCCTGCCATCCATGGCAGTCAGGAAATCTCTATCACTTTTACAAAGGATCCTACAACTAGACAATAAGCAGATGGAAAGCAAGTTCTTGTATGTGCTGGTGTCAGCTGCTTCTGCAGCAGCAGCAACAGAGCCAGGGTCAGCAGTGTAGGTCCTGCCTACATGTGTAAGGTTTCTTATTTCATGGCCCCCCCCTTCCCCCTCCCCACGGCAAAGGGGACAAGCTGTCCCATGATGTGGGATTCTCACACATGCTGTTTGTTATTCTGTCCCTTTTTAAGAGTTTTCCTTTCGTCCTGTGAAGATTTAAAGAAAAGGGTGGGGGAAGCTGAGCAAGTCTTTGAAGCAACTTGACTTTCTATGATTAATTGCAGTGAAAAGTCTAAGCCAGGGAGACTTAGTTTTGATTTATTGATGTTTCTTTGTGAGAACAAATTTATAGCAGAGAGAAGCAGCTTCTGAGAAGAATATCAAACAGTTAAAAGGTTCTAAGCACGCTTTGATGTCACAGCCCTGGAGGAATGCTGGAAAGTATTGGGGGGAGGCACTGTTTATTTATAAAATAAAGATCAGGTACCTGCTGTTGGCACAGTCCTTCAGCTGAGTGCCTGATGAACTGCTCAGACAGCCATGGAATTGGACTTTAAACCCCTGCCATAGCAACCTGCTGAGATGATGAGAGAAGGTTCTAAGCACGCTTTGATGTCACAGCCCTGGAGGAATGCTGGAAAGTATTGGGGGGAGGCACTGTTTATTTATAAAATAAAGATCAGGTACCTGCTGTTGGCACAGTCCTTCAGCTGAGTGCCTGATGAACTGCTCAGACAGCCATGGAATTGGACTTTAAACCCCTGCCATAGCAACCTGCTGAGATGATGAGAGCCCA